TTTTATTAATTCGTTCTTATTGTGCTTCTGTGCAATCATAACACATAAGGTTTGAGTAGTCCCGTGTGAGTTCTTCTCAAATCATTATGAAGCATGGATGAGACGTTAGGACTTGCATCTTTCTCAAAGTAGGCTAAAACGCTGAGTTCAAGAATAAAGGATCTAAATGATCAGAACCAACGCTTCTGAATGTATTCGTTCCCCCTGTAATTTGTCAGCAGTTCGTTAGCGTTTACGTTATTTCTGGAATACGGTGTGTAAAATGTATGAACGTCAAATTGTGTCGTTCTTGTCAGCAGTTCGTTAGCGTTTACGTTATTTCTGGAATACGGTGTGTAAACTGTATGAACGTCAAATTGTGTCGTTCTTGTCAGCAGTTCGTTAGTGTTTCCATCATTTCTGGATTATGGTGTGTAAAATGTATGAACGTCAAATTGTGTCGTTCTTGTAAGCAATTCCTAAGTGTTTACGTCATTTCTGGAATACGGTGTGTAAATGTATGAACGTCAAATTGTGTCGCTCTTGTCAGCAGTTCGTAAGTGTTTTCGTCATTTCTGGAATACGGTGTGTAAACTGTATGAACGTCAAATTGTGTCGCTCTTGTCAGCAGTTCGTAAGTGTTTTCGTCATTTCTGGAATACGGTGTGTAAACTGTATGAACGTCAAATTGTGTTGTTCTTGTAAGAAGTTCGTAGGTGTTAAAGTCATTTCTGGAATACGGTGTGTAAAATGTATAAACGTCAAATTGTGTCGTTCTTGTTAGCAGTTCGTAAGTGTTTACGTCATTTCTGGAATACGGTGTGTAAAATGTATAAACGTCAAATTGTGTCGTTCTTGTCAGCAGTTCGTAAGTGTTTACGTCATTTCCGGAATATGGTGTGTAAATGTATGAACGTCAAATTGTGTCGTTATTGTCAGCAGTTCGTAAGTGTTTATGTCATTTCTGGAATATGGTGTGTAAATGTATGAACGTCAAATTGTGTCGCTCTTGTAAGCAGTTCGTAAGTGTTTACGTCATTTCTGGTATACGTTGTGTAAACTGTATGAACGTCAAATTGTGTCGTTCTTGTCAGCAGTTCATAAGTAATTACATCATTTCTGGAATACGGTGTGTAAAATGTATGAACGTCAAATTGTGTTGTTCTTGTAAGAAGTTCGTAGGTGTTAACGTCATTTCTGGAATACGGTGTGTAAAATGTATAAACGTCAAATTGTGTCGTTCTTGTTAGCAGTTCGTAAGTGTTTCTGTCATTTCTGGAATACGGTGTGTAAACTGTATGAACGTCAGATTGTGTCGTTCTTGTAAGCAGTTCGTAAGTGTTTACGTCATTTCTGGAATACGGTGTGTAAACTGTATAAACGTCAAATTGTGTCGTTCTTGTCAACAGTTCGTAAGTGTTTATGTCATTTCTGGAATATGGTGTGTAAATGTATGAACGTCAAATTGTGTCGTTTAAACAACTTCTGAGCAAGAGTCGCATGGCGCTCTTGGAAGAAAGAGCATGGATCTCAAAAGTTGTCAAATAGAGACACCAAAAGCTTGATCTGTTACAATATTGCCTGACAAGTTGAACATTGGAAAGTTGAAGTCATCCCTCTTGTCAAATCTTGTGGAGTGTTGTTTGTCATCCTAAATCTTTACGCCTAGATCTAAACAGGAACAGATGAGGCGGTATCACTTGTCTCCTTTATATCTAGTTCAGGTGGGTAAATCAGTGGAGGGGATTTGGCAATATGAATGTTATTGAACGATATCGGATCATCGATATACCTGAAGCTGAAGTACAATATCTTGGCCAAATTCACTTATTTTGACTTTGCCAGTCATAACAGAAAATCAGCAAGAAGGGGAGCACAATTGGTGCTCATGGTGATGCCTACTGTTTGACTAAATGTCTAACCCCCAATTTTAAGCATAGATCAATGTCAGATCCAGACCACAGTTTCCAATGTGTGGAGTTGCCTCCTGTATCTGCCCAGATCTGTCCCTGCCGGTTTCACTACATTTAACCATATAGCAGTGAGTGAGTGAGTTGGGTTTAACGCCCCTTTAACAGTATTCCAGTTATATCACGGCGTGTCAGCTTAATGTGGGAGGAAAGCCCAAAGTGATGCAGGTGTCAGATCTTTACCACCTCGGTGAAACCCACGAGCACGGGTATGGTGCTGACAAACCTAGAAACATAATCGGGGCGAACCGAGATTCGAACCTACACTCATAGGTTTCTGGCGTGCCCAAGGGACGCAACTCTGCACAGCGAATCGCCGGCGCCTTAGACGACTGGGCCACCGGAGTGGTAAACGTCTAAGGCCTGCATCACTTCGGGTTTTCCTCCCACATTAAGCCCCGTTTAACATAACTCACTCACTTGATCAATGAAGTAAATATTAGAGTATAGTAAAATACGTTCACTTAATACTTCATTCCGAACATTCTTAAACTTACAAACAAGCGGTCAAGCAGGTTCAAACCAACAAGGCTTGTGGCATTGAGAATTGTGAATGAATACATCAAACATACCGATGACATGGTGCTCGAACGGTATGGATAATAATAATAATAATAATAATAATAATAATAATAATAATAATAATAATAATAATAATCATGGACGGACTTTATTTTAAGATAGCACAGAAGCTGTATTTAGAGAAGCCTACTCAAGAACAGATCAATTTTTACATTGAACTTTTTTATATAAGGTCTTTGAAAGGCATTTAGAAGTGATACACCTACGGAAGAGAATATCACACATCCACATATGACATCCACATATTCTCTTCCTTACAAGACCGCCTCCGTGGTCTAGTGGTAGAGCGTCCGCCCAGAGAGCGGAAGGTCCGGGGTTCGATCATACCAAAAGATGTTAAAAGATGGTACTTGTTGTTACCCTGTCTGGCGCTCGGCATTAAGGGGCTAAAACAAGGACTGGTCGGCTCGGAGTCAGTATACTGTGTCTGAGTGGGGTATTCATGTTAAACTGCGGCATTGTATCTCAGTGGGCTAGCATTATAAATCGGCATCAGTCCGGACTAGTACAAGCAGCCACACACACACACACACACACGTGCATGCACATCGCTATATAAGTGCAATAATCTTGGACGCCACGTAAACCCCATTTCACCTCACCTCTTCCTTACAAACATGATAATTTGAATTTAAAAGTACAAGTACTTTGAATGATCACTGAAGAAAACGTTACCATGAGAACATAACAACTATTACCAGCTGAACCGTAGCAACTTAGGTAAAACAAGATAACTGCAGATGCTTATTCAAATACTTCCAGATAATGATACTTAATCATTTTAACAAAAATCAAAATTTCTACTTTTACAAATTTACATATAACGTGAGAATGTGTTTATAAATTTTATGCTGGTAATTTGCAGCATTGTAATTCTCTTAAATGTGACTGCAGCTGAAATACCTGTATCTTTATCGAGTATTCTACAACATAAAGTACAAAATCGACAGGCGCTTCACGATATTGCGGATGGATTTATATAGTAATATATTCAAAAGAGATTGACAAGTCTGTATGTTTGTAGCTACAGAGATAATTTTACGTTTTGAGTATTGTATTCTCGACATATTCGGCCACAGACTGGTTGCCTTTAAATAAATGCATTTAGCTGCCGACTCTTAGCTACTCTTAACATTGAAACATCAAAATATTGCCAGTGAAAATACATACAATAAGTCAAATAACATGACAAAAATATAAATGCAGACAATAGAAACACGTTCACAACTAAGTCACTTGATACAGTAAACGTTATACACGTTGGACAGAATATTTAATAACCCTCCACGACTCCCATAACTAACTAGTTACTTGGGGCTAAGTCTGGGCTGTAGAGTTAAATCACCCACCCTACAGCCCAGACTTAGCCCCCAGTGACTATTTCCTGTTCCGGCAAATGAATTCTGCCCTACGTGGAAGACGCTTCAAGGATGACGAGGACATAAAGGCTGCCACAGAGGCGTGGTTAGAGGTCCAATCTGCGGATTTCTATAAAAGTGGTATTAAAAGCTTGAAGGACAAATGGAATAAGTGTTTTGAGGTGAATGGAGATTATATTGAAAAATAAAAGTGCAAAAGATTTTCTGCGACTTGGTCTTATATTGAAGTTGCAAAACTTATTGAACGCCCCTCGTACATGTACATGCAGTACAGTGATTCATCTGTCATCATCCCAAATCACAGAATTCAGGAAATGAGTGCTTTAAATGTCATTTTAATGGATCAATTTCACAGAGGTAACCCCTTAAGAGATGGCATGGGATGTCATTCATGTATAGAATTCAGGAAATGAGAGCTTTAAATGTCATTTCAATGGATCAGTTTCACAGAGGTAACCCCTTAAGAGATGGCATGGGATGTCATTCATGTACAGAATTCAGGAAATGAGAGCTTTAAATGTCATTTCAATGGATCAGTTTCACAGAGGTAACCCCTTAAGAGATGGCATGGGATGTCATTCATGTACAGAATTCAGGAAATGAGAGCTTTAAATGTCATTTCAATGGATCAGTTTCACAGAGGTAACTCCTTAAGAGATGGCATGGGATGTCATTCATGTACAGAATTCAGGAAATGAGAGCTTTAAATGTCATTTCAATGGATCAGTTTCACAGAGGTAACTCCTTAAGAGATGGCATGGGATGTCATTCATGTACAGAATTCAGGAAATGAGAGCTTTAAATGTCATTTCAATGGATCAGTTTCACAGAGGTAACTCCTTAAGAGATGGCATGGGATGTCATTCATGTACAGAATTCAGGAAATGAGAGCTTTAAATGTCATTTCAATGGATCAGTTTCACAGAGGTAACTCCTTAAGAGATGGCATGGGATGTCATTCATGTACAGAATTCAGGAAATGAGAGCTTTAAATGTCATTTCAATGGATCAGTTTCACAGAGGTAACTCCTTAAGAGATGGCATGGGATGTCATTCATGTACAGAATTCAGGAAATGAGAGCTTTAAATGTCATTTCAATGGATCAGTTTCACAGAGGTAACTCCTTAAGAGATGGCATGGGATGTCATTCATATATTTGTGGCCATGTCTTGATTCTACACAGTCCTCATCCATCCCACCAGCCACAAGTGATGGTTCACCAGGAATCCAAGCTTCAATGTTGGTGAGACGTTCTCCATCTGTCCAGTAGAAAGTATCATTCTGGAAAACATCGTTCAGACCAATCCACATGTAGACTGCAAAGAAGAAGGTGACAACAAAACACTACTCAACAGTGTAGTATATTTATACATGAGTGAGTGAGTGAGTGAGTGAGTGAGTGAGTGAGTGAGTGAGTGAGTGAGTGAGTGAGTGAGTGAGTGAGTGAGTCCCACTGTTCCTATCTGGTATCGCCTATTAACTTCACATATATATTTAGTTACTGAGGAGACGAGGTGTACGTGAAGTCTTGACAAGTCACAAAAATGTTAATTGAATGCATGATCAGACCATTACAAAGCTTGACCTTCTAACTGCCAAACGTGGCAAAGAAAGTATCAACCACGAATATTCAGGTGTCTGTGAGGAATCATGTTTGTTTCTTGACTTACCTCTCCCAAAGTGTGGAAACTTTCTGTCCACCAGCTTTTGTTTCTTACTTGAATCCATCTTTACCAGCGATGCACCCTCGGACTGACAAGCACGAAGGGCGTCATGCCAGCCTCTGTCCTTGGGATGATTCTTGATATAAGTCACGATCTGACCAACCTGCATGCGGTGGTAACCTTTAGGCATACCTGTCCACAATGGAGATGAAATACAGACATACATACACGTGTACATTATATGCATGGCACTACCACTGAAAAGGTGACTATGCTTGTCGTAAGAGGCGACTAACGGGATAGGGTGGTCAGGCCTGCTGACTTGGTTCATGCATGTCATCGTATCCCAAATGCGTGGATCGATGCTGATGATGTCAATCAATGGAATGTCTGTCCAGACTCGATTATTTACAGATCGCCGTCATATAGCTGGAATATTGCTGAGTGCGGCGTTAAACAACAACCAAACAAACATTTTCACTGGACAAAATATCATCCATTCCAAAAAATCCAAAACTTGGAAATACCACCATTCCAGTTGGAAATATGACCATTCCAATATTTGGCAAGGTCATATTTCCCAGCTTGGATTTGTTTGGATTTGTTTGGAAATATTTGGATACAGCATGTCATAATCATATCTGTTAAACGTTGTACAACTATTGACCTTATGTGAGATTAGTAATGACATGAAAGTAAATAATTAAGAGTATTTTGGCACTATGTACCACGAAAAGACCAAATCATGAGCAAATTTAATTAAAAGAATTTCTGTCATTTAAAGTGGCTACTCTTTATATTTAATTTCTTATCTTCCTTGTGTATAATCATATGACATTGACTATGAACTTTGAACAATTAAACAAATATTTTGTTTTCCCATACCGACTTACGGTTGTCGTAGAACAAAGACCGTTTCGAGAATATAGAGGGCCTCATTATTATAATTTGAACTAATATACGTATGTACATAATAGTACTAGGTATAAATGAATTTTAATAAGTGTTCGTACAAGAATATGAACTTCGAATTATCTCGGAATTATGCGCAACACATAGGGCTGGAAATTTTATAATTGTTCTGGAACTATCTGACGGTAATTCAAAACAGGGAACAAGATATCGTCAAATGAATCATTGAGCCAGGAATGCAACGATTTAAATGCTGACAAAATGAATAAACATATCTGGAACAGAATAGACTGTTCATGCGGACAATTATATGCTACGTCTATTGCCAATGAAGTTTATCACCCCATGTTATAGCATTTGTTTCATATAAAAGATAGAAGCCAAATAAATGGGACAGTTAGTTGTTATGAATTAGCTTTACCTCTGTGACATATCACGCAACTAAATGTGAATATGTTTATCAAATAATCAATTACAGTAATTAACCTAGTGTCCTTATTTATACACAATTTAATTACGTATTGGGGTACAATATATAATACACATATACACGGAATGATTTCTTATTTTGTCAATTTAATCATAACCCAAATCATACAAATCAAAGTGTGAAAGTAGTGACTAACTTTATGATCAAGGGTATAAATACTCAATTGTATCTATTGATCCTAATAGTATAACAATAAACCCTGTGTATATACTGAGCATATTTAGATACATCCGGATCTACGACCGCAGCCATATAATCAATCAAGGAAAGTATATTAGATTGAATTACAAATATGATTTCACTAAAACAAAATTTTCCGTTATCCACGTTAGCCTAAACCTGGGAGAAATAAAGTTCTGTTCTGTTCTGAAGACGCCGTCATGATTAGTTGGCGCCAGTCTAGACTGTCCAATCAACGTGAATATACAAACCGTGATGTTACGTGGAGGGGAATGTCCGAGTAACTCTCCATTCCTTAAAAATAATGGAGCAGAGGCCCTGCAGGGGCCGAGGCCCATTATTTTTAAGGAATGGAGAGTTACGAGGATATTCCCCTACTTAAAACTCATCCCTACTTTTACACTTTGACAAAATATTCTGTAGTTGAAAATATTTGAAAAATTCAAATGCTGCTTCAAGATAATGTACAGTTGACAAGCAACTCTCCATTCCTGAAAAATAATGGAGCGTTCAAACAATAGAATGACGTCACAGATGTGTTTTAATTGACCAGTTGATGACACCTGTCAAACTCAAAGTGCCCCTGGTCCTCCACCCACCATGTGTAATACTTTAGCGTACTTGATTGTTTAATTTGCAGTTATATCACTGTTAGGCTGAGTGATGAGAGAATACATTTTGTTGTTTTTGTTAACGATCGTTTCCATTTTCAACGTGGTAACCTTATAAGTGACTAACTTTTTTATCATGATGAAATGAAACATATTAAAATAATCAGAGGGACTGACGATCGCATTTTTCGCATAAATGTCATGCTCGCATTAATTTCATGATTTACTGAAGATAGATTTGAACATTTCTGAGCAACGATCATGTTTGGGTAAGGGAAGTAATCTTGTCTCCGCTTGCAATTGGATTCAGTTCCGAGATCGCAGCTTGACTGTTCCGTACGGCCGAAAGGCGGCATCCATGTTGTTCACGCTCCGCTGATCACGGGGCCTCATTTGTCTGTATTCTGCTTATGAGCCGGGATACGCATGAAACACGGGTGTCAAAACGAATATATTTACCAATTATACGTACGGTCAATTAGCCAGTCCAAGAGACAATACCCTGGTTCTACCACCTTTAGGTGTAATTACGTCGCATGCCTTTAGGTGTAATTACGTCGCATGCCCCTGGTTCACGGTTCGTCTGATCTCCCGTCATAAAACCACGATGTTTATTTACCTGGAGCCTCCGACAGCGCCGACTTCCTGTGTCCATGTACGTATATGGCAATAAATGGTTTGACAGTTGTTTGACGGAATCAATCAATAATTATTGACACGGGGATGTAATTAAAATTTGTCACTATTCACAACTCCTATTTTTATTTTTCTATTGTTCGGCTGTTTTCGACCAGTTTTATATGCATAAAAAATCTTCTCTTGTATTTATAAACCAAACCTAAAAACATTATATAAGAACAATTGTGTTTTTAAACCGTAAGTTTTCTTTTAAAACAACCATGCTAGTAAGATTTCAGCCGTAATATTACTTGAGTCACTGCACAGATTACACATCTTATATGCTGCAAACGCAGCGAATGTAATGCTACTACGTCACAGCTGCCTCAGTAATAGAGGGCTGGAATGTTTTTGTGAAGGCAGTTAGAGCAGACGAATTTCCCCCCTCGCTGTATAATGACGGTCGCTAACCATATATGTGTATTTTTCGTGTTTTCGGCTTGATTTGATTGTCCTTTGGTGAAAACAAATGTTCAATTGTGAAAGCAAACCCTTTTCCCCTGAACGTTAAAAGACAGCTGACTTTGTTTTTGTCTGAAATATCAACGTTGGAGTCGTTTATATAATCGGAAATCCATATTATGGTAAATATTTATAATATAATATGGACAATGGTAAAATTCATTATCACAGTTTAAGTGCTATTCACAAATGTATGTAAATCTACTTCTTGATGAATGAAGCATGGCAATAAATGTATGCATCTGATTCTTCATTTGTTCTGTATTCTTTGACGAGAATGAGTTTCGTTAATGATGATCACTCTCAAAGATTTTTTGATAAGAGGATAGGACTTTAACTGGAGAATAGTTATGAAAAATATATATATAAAGTAACTGAAACTGATACCTCATTGATTTGCTAATCGGGACTTGGAAATCATAGTCTGTCATTAAATTGATTTTAAAATATATGGTTTTGACTGTAGAACGTCCTGAAATCATAATATTATGTGGTAAACAACTTATCTTATCTTATGTTAAGTAAAACAATTATTGATAACTTCCTGAATTCCAATTGTTCAATGAACAGAATTATTCACAGCTCTGGCGTGGGACAACAATAAATTAGATGTTACCAAGGATTGTCCATTTTATGATCTTAGGCACATGTCGGCGCACTTACATGTGAGCCGTCTAGACGACTGTGTGTTTTGTAATTAAATGACAGCTGCCATCCAGCCGAATACTTAATCTTGAGACCTATTAGTTGTCTCAGCACTACACAATCAGCAATCTATAAAACAACAAAAATCCTCATCCTAACCGACTCCCTCTAAAAACACTAAAAAACACCCCAAACTAATAAATCAAATACTCAACAGCTCAAACAACTTAACTAGGACAGGTAAACAAATAGAGTTCATTTGGACCCCCGCCCACGTAGGAATCTTTGGAAATGAAAAGGCAGATAAAGCAGAAAAATTATCCCTTAAACTCCAAGAAATAAGCTTAAACTTACCCAGCTCAAAATCAGAAATCAGAAGTCTCACTAAACAAAAAATCAACAAAAAATGGCGAAATATATACGAAAACTTAAATAGCCAAATCAGGAAAGTACTCCAAAAAACCCCCTAAATAAACCAAAAATACTACACCCATCCAAAATAATCGACAGAATAATTAGTAAACTACAAACAGGCCACACCAAACTAAATAATCACCGTAAAATAGCTACGCACAACAGGAAACTGCCCACATTGCAAACAACAAGAAACACCAGAACACGTACTCATTCACTGCACACACTACCAAACACACCGAACAACACTACAGACCACCCTAAATCTTAAAACCGGACTGACACTAGAATCAATCCTAAATCCACAAAATAAATTAGAAAAATTCAAAGCCTTAGGTTTATACCTAATTAAAACAGGACTAATTAGTCGCATTTAAACCCCAAATAAAATAATAAAACCAAAACTACCTTATCCAACAACCACCCAACAAACACAGCTCCCTTAGTTCGCCCCCCACCCACTCTTGGCATTCTTTCCAAATCTCAAAATTTCAAAATGACTATATAAGCAACCCTTAAAGCGCCCCCCCCCCCCCCCCCCCCACTGGGTTGCACAAACTCACTTTTCCCCTTTTTGGAAACACATTAAATGATTAAATGGCCTGGCCGGGCCCGTGTGCGACATACGTTTGCAGTCGGAAAGCGCACGTTAAATCTCCAATATAAGTAAGTAAGTGTCTTTTCGAGTCAAGTGCGGGTCTCTCTCTCACCTTAGGGAGAATGCGACTGTAAAAGCCCCTCGCTAGACAGACAAGTAGTGAATGTTTGAGATAAATTTATTATTTATTATATATAGTT